TACTAAAATTCCTGTAATTTATTTCATATAAATTCATTCTTAATCATAATGCATTTCTATCAATATTAATGAACTATTGCATTTAATAGATATGTCTACACGTATGCATTTATATTTTACTGTTTTAATTTAATATTATCATTATAAAACATGTTTAATAGAAAAATTTGAAAATTTAGTGTACTGTGAAAGTATACTCATGCAAGTGCAGCCAAACGTGCTATAATAAATATAGAAACTCTATACTAATTTACTGTATTTAATAAATATATTCCAATTGTAAAATTCAAACACGTTAAGTGTAGTAATTGAGATGAAATTTTATAATTTTTTTTATAATAAATGAAATTACATCATTATTGTATATATAATAATTGGAATGTAGTAAATAGAAAAATTATAGAAAGAAAGTAATCCTTAATGCAGTATTGTAATAAATAAATTAATATTTTGTAATATTTTATTGAATAATCCTGTATGCCTGGGAACATTAATAAAAGTTGATGATGTAGTAAATCTTTTAATATTTATGAATATTTTCTTGCAAATATTTATTTTTCTTACAATAAAACTTATAATAAGATTGCATATATTGTATTTATTACAATAGCTCAATTATTTTTTGTTGAATAAATTACATTTATCATTATTAATTGATACTGAACTATCGGTGTTACACTATTCTTCATAAAAATATTATACATTATAGTTTATTTTTGTTTTTTTTTCAGATATTAACGATATTTCTTGTAATTAGGAATAATATATTTATGAATTATAAATGCAAGTAATATTATTCTTGCATTCTTTAATCAGTAAAATAATGTACTACAGTTTCGTGAATTAATTTTAACAAATAACAATATATAAATTAATTAAATTGTTTTTCAATAACTTTTATAAATATAGATACTATCACTATGACTCTTGAAGGGAAACATATATATATTATATATAAATGATACACGTAAATTGCAATTGTTTCAAATTAAATTACTTGTGTGATATATATTTCAGTTTATAATTTCTTATATATATATATATATATATATATATATATATATATATTTTTTTAAACACAATAAGATATTATATAATAAAAATTTCAATGTAATTCAATGTAAATATATAAATATGAATGACTGTGTTACTTTGTGTACAAGCACTTTGTGTACTTTACGTACAACTTTGTGTACATCTATTTATAAAAATGTAAATATAAATAATCTTTGAATGAAAGTTGAACTACTAGCCTCATCTATTTGTCATTTGTCATTTGTCATTTTTTTTTTAATTTTACTTTTATGAAATATAAACAAATGCATTGAAAACATAAACACACTTTCAGATTAAATTATTTTATTACTGTTTTTCGTTTTATAAATAAAAAAGTTATATGCCACATATCAATGGCAAAAAATAAATTAATTAATTAATTATTAGAGATTATATATAATTATATTATTATAATTAATATTGTTAATTCGATTTTGAATCATATCGTTGCTAAAAATAAAAACTCTTCAGTAGGAAACATTATAGACTTATCATGCGTTTATGTATTAAATAATAATAAAAAAAAGAACTTTAGTTTTATTCGCAGCAATTATTTATCTTTTCTTGTTTGATATAATATTATTCGCGTATATAACTTGACAATTAAATGTAATTTATGAGAAAACGTGTAAATTCAAGATTCAAGATCTTTACATAACATTTTCAATCAATTTTATTAGATAGAAGAGTAATTTTTTATTAATATTATGCAGCACTCTATTTATTGAGCACGCACACAAATATCTTCTGACGAAATTCAAACGAAAATTACTTCTATGATCGTAGTTAAATTAGTTCTGATTCTTATATTCAATTTTAAGAATGTTATGCACTTTTATTATTGCATTATTTCTAAACGGCTAAAAGCATTGTATTTAATAATATATTACTTTTCACAATATCTTAATTTTAATATTATTCAAATTAATTCTAAATAAATAATTATACGTAAATTTACTAAAATCTAAAAAATGAAAAAATGTTCAATTGTCAAATCATTGATAACTGGAAGATTAATATGTTAGTAAAATATCAATCGAATGTGTTACAGCTATAAGAAATATAAAAAAATCAAATAATTTTTTATATTTCCAAATTTCATTAAATTCAGAACAAATATTATAGATATCAACGGTACTTTAAAAATAGATTTTATATCTATAATATGAATATATATATATATATATGAGTATATACATAAGTATGCACATAAGTATATACACGACTAAATAATAGTAATTCTTGCATTTGTCATCAAGAAATAAGTTTTAATTAGAGTAAAAGTAATTGGAAAAGAATATTTACAAAATTTATTGATCTGTTTTGTATTAAAACTAAGTAATATTAATATTAAAGATTTAAAACTAAAAAAAAAAAAATGAAATACTTGTTGAAATTATCTTAATATGTACAACTTCTACAAACAGAAATCAAGTTATTTTAGATGTATCATTTTATTTCAATATTACACTTCTCATTATTGCTTGTGAGTTATAGAAACATAAATGAGGCAGTGCTTAAACTGCAATTTATCTTATAGCAACTATTACGTTCTACTTTCTACACAGATATTTTAACACTGTACAGATCACACACTACAATGTCATAGTTTATAAATCTATTGAAAATAAAATTTTAATCGGGGATCAGATTGGCTATGTTATAATTTCTATTTGAATAAATTAATATTGCAGTACAAGAGAAAACAAAAATTATGCAATATATATACTTTTATACTGAATTTTGATTGCACATAGCAAACTTCCTAATACCGGTAATAATTACATAATAATTTCATGCAATTTTATTGAAGAAATAAAACGATTATTCATACACACACCATTTACGATTTCTTATTAATCTAACATTTAAACTATCTTATTTTTCATTCTTTTGTATTATATTAGATGAATATAATTTTAAATGTATATGATGTGTATTTATGTATAAATGTTTATATATATATATATATATATATCCAGTGAATTTATCCAGTATAATTTAGTATAACATAAACATACTTGTATAAGAAAATGAAAAACAGCTTAATTTAAATATCATATTTTAAAAGCTAGGCTATTATAAATATTGGATAGTAGTTAATAATGAAATGGCACTGCAAATATAAATTTTATTGAAACGTGTTATTAAAAATTTTGGATAAAAAATTAAAAGCTGAATTTTTATGTAATTGTATGTTTGTAAAGAGATTCGAATTACTTTATTGATACTTAATATAAAATGGTATACTAACATAATGTTAATTAAATAGATTAATATCATTTCTTAAATATATTTATTAATAAACAAATAAAAATACTTTCAATCAAATATTAAAATAAACTTACAGTACGTTATAATAAATGGAACATTTATAATTGAAAATATCCATTATGTCGAATAATTTGAATATTAAATATTTTATACACATATCTATCATTAGACGTATTAATAAAACATTTTTTATTCATATTTATTCATTACTTTTTATAATATGCTATCAAAAAGTATACATAAAACTAATATATGTACGATATAAAATGCATATATATCTATTAAAAGCATTTATAAAAAGTTATAATAAATTTATTTTTAATTTCAAATAAAGCTAAAAGAAGTGTTTGATAATTAATTTGAATTTTAATTGCTTGAATCAAAACTATTTGAAAAAAAATACCTTTTAATAATCCAGAACAGGATAAATGAAGATAAGTATCGATTACTTTGTTACGATTACTATGTTTTACGTACAAACGATTTTACTTCTAATGTTTCAAAAGTTTTACTTATAATTATAATATATCGTATAAAAAATAAATATCTCATTCTATTAAAAGTCTATATTACAAATGGATCGCATATTTATCATATATTCTTTCATCAAGTCGATAGAATAAAAGTTCGTTAAAATGAAATAGAATTAAATAAAAGTTCGTTGACCAGAAGTGGAGGTACGTGAAAGATATTTATTTCTATAAAATAACAAAATATTATTTGTTTTTTCATTTTCAGTTTTCTACAATGATAAATTGTTATTGTACGTTCAATTTCATTAACTGAGCAAAAGGCTATGAACTTTATATTATCACGCAGTTGATTAGTTTTGCACAATTTGCATAATTTCGTATTATACACGATTAGAAATAAATCAGAGTATAAATGAAGCAAATCTAAATAATTTATGAATGATATAATAAAAAATGTAGAAATAAAATAATGATGGCATTATTTAATATTAATCGTGGCCTTCTTGTAAATAGCATATTCAGAAGTATTTAAAACATGTCAATGACTTAATAATATATGTATTTTGCTTAAATAACATTGCTATGTGTAGAATCTGCAGAATCTGAATATTATTATATCATTGATACTAATAAAGTTTGGAGCTATTTTAAATTCGAAATTTTAATGAGTGTTAATTAAAAATATACAATTTCTATAATTAACTAATTAATAATTTCTTCGTTCCATTATCTTTATGTATATAATTAATTAAATAATGTAAAGAAAAATTAATTGTAATAATCAGTCACAGCTTGTGTTGTAATTTCTTCTGAACGATATCAATAAAATGATGTTATTTTTGTTATACAATTAATAATATTTACTGCATCTGGTGTAAAACCAAATTTCAGATGTACATAAATAATTCATTTGATTATGTAAATTTAATTTTTTCTTTAAACTCAATTTACACATCGTTTATTTTAATTTTAATAACAATTTTAATTTACGTTGCTTTTTAAAGTCCCCTTATCATTAAAGAGCATAAGGTTACGATATTGTTTTTATGTACAGACGATTTGTATCGTGTACATACTAAAAATGGTTATGTAAAATTCTAATTTGGGGTTATGTAAAATTCTAATTTGGGGTTATGCTTAATCGTTGCATGGAGTGCCGTGAAAGTCCATATGTATTTAAAAAAATTATATTATTAATTATTTTTTTATATCTGATTATTATACAAAAATGCCAGTTATTTGTAATGTTATAGATTGTGGCAAACCTGCCACATTAAAAGTAATTAATTAAAAAACCAAATTCTTTACGTATGTATAAAACATGTGGAAATAAATAAGATTTTTATGCTTTGTGTTTATAGAGACCAAAAACGGGAGATGCTTTGTGTAAGGAATGTTTTTTTTTTGCATTTGAAACAGAAATACATGTTACAATAGTAAAGGCAAATTTGTTTAAACATGGATATAAAGTTGCAATTGGTGCTTCTGGTGGAAAAGATTCTACCGTGCTCGCCTATGTGTTGAAACTCTTGAACGAACGTTATAATTATGGATTGGATTTATTTTTATTATCTATTGACGAAGGTATTACTGGATATAGAGACGATAGTCTTGAAACTGTGAAGCAAAATAGAGATGATTATCAGATGCCTCTGAAAATATTATCGTATAAAGATTTATACGGTTGGACTATGGATGAAATTGTTGCTCAAATAGGGCATAAAAATAATTGTACTTTCTGTGGTGTCTTTCGAAGACAGGCATTAGATAGAGGAGCTCAAATGTTAAACGCTGATATGATTGTCACTGGGCATAATGCCGATGATGTTGCAGAAACTGTCATAATGAATGTCTTAAGAGGAGATGTGGCAAGATTGTCTAGATGTACAAACATCATCACTGTCTGTATTATTAAGTAGATATAATTGTAATAAACATAAATAAGAAAATTTTAATAATTTTTAGGAGGGAGAAGGTACTATCCCTCGTTGTAAACCATTGAAATATGTGTACGAAAAGGAAATTGTTATGTATGCTCATTATAAAGGATTGGTCTACTTTTCAACAGAATGTATATATTCGCCAAATGCATATAGAGGATATACTAGGGAATATATCAAAGAAATTGAAAGGATTAGACCATCTTGTATACTTGATATCATTCATTCAGGTACTTAACTTCTAAAATTGTCTAAAATAGAATTAGTAATAATTTTAATTTTATTCTTGTTATATTATGTAGGTGAAATAATGGTACTAAAGAAGTCTGTTAAAATTCCTAAACGAGGGACATGCACTCGTTGCGGATTTGTAGCGAGTCAAGAAATATGCAAAGCATGTGTTTTACTTGAAGGTTTAAATACAGGTATGCCAAAACTAGGAATTGGAAAATCTAATAAAGCTAGAAAAATTATGGGACTCAAAGTAAATGATGGATCAGAAAATAAAACTAAAGAAAAAGGACATAAAACAGAAAGTAAGAGAAAAATTAAAAGAGAAAATAAAAAAAAATCAACTTGCGAAGAAGGGTGTGCATCAGATTGTAAATCAAAAAATTATGAATCAACATTGGCTGATGATATTGATGTTTCACGCTTATCGTTAGAAGAAAATAGTACTGAAGAACAAAAAGCTAGCACCGTTGAAGACTTCTTATTTTCAATATTAAACGAATCATCTGATGAAGAAATTTCGGATATTCAAATTAAGCCCAAGAAGGAAAAAATAGAATGTAAATGTCCACCAAGATTAAGAGTAAATACTAAATCTAAGCAACTAGATGTAATAAATGATACAGATTCTAGTTCAGATGATGACATATTTGACTTTGAGGCTTTTGTAAAATTATTAGGAATAAATAATTCATCTGTTTTAGACAAAGAAACTGAATCAGCATTAATAAATGATGCACTAAGTAATACCTCCGATAAGCAATTAATCTCCAATACTGAACTTCAAAATCCAAGTTCACGACCATTCGAACAATTGCATAGTACTAATGAGTCATTGCCATTATCATCAACTGTATTATCCGATTATTTAGATGCCGACAGACCGCAGTTATCGTCATCGTTGATGCAAGAAAGTCAGTGTTCCAAATTATTATCAACAGATAATATAAATAATGTACAGTCGTTATTAAAAACAGAAACATCCCAACACTCATCATCACAATTAATCAATTGCTTAGAGAATATTGAGCAATTGAATTTATCCAATGAACTACCAAGTATAGTAAAAGCAAATCCAAAGAAACTAAAACCTTCTTTAACATTACCTCAAATGATGTACAAAGCTAAAAATAATTTAGATTTTTAAGATTAAACTTTATACATACAATACAATAAATATAAATTACGTTTGTTAAAACGTTAAAATTTTTCGTTGTTTTTATTTGTTATCTCTTCGCAAAATTTTTTAAATATTATAAAATCAGTAAATCTTGTTACTTTTCAAGGAAAGAAAACAGGATTTGTTTGAGTAACAGTTTCTCGACAAATCGGGCAGGTTGAAGTGTAATTCATAGAACAGTCTATACACAGGCAAACATGACCACATGGTAGTAAGATAATTTCTTGTGGATTTGTCATACAAATCACACACAATTGATCACGACTAAGATTTGTCTCTCGTATCCTTTGCCTTCTCTCTTTACGAGATTGTTCTAAAGATTTGCGCAATTCGTTAGCTAATTTTTGTTTTTCTTTATCTTTTAAATAACGTCTTACTAGAATACCAGCAATAAATAATCCAATTGTACCAAATATTAAACATAACCATCTACAATAATAATTTATATGAGAATAACTGTTTTTAATAATAATTCAGACTATTACTCAACTATTTACTTATAAACTTTTCTCTGATCGTCCAATTTCCGAAGCAATGAACTTATTGACATAGTCGTAAGATAATAAGATGTGCCATCCCCTGGCGGTTGTAAAACTAAAGAGTTGTGATTAGATGAGGATTTTGTTAATTCACCTATTACAGTTATGATCGACCCTTCCTTTAACATTTCTTCCGTTGTCTGTAAGCCTCTTTGTCTATGTCCTAAAAATACACCTCATTATTATCAATTCGACGATTTACTTAACTTAACAATTATAAATATTTTCACCTGTAAAAAATCCCCATACATAATCGACAAAGCTAGGAGCACTAGCTTCAAATATATCTGAAATGGTTTCCAAATCCAAAACTTCAGCTGCCAATGAATTAGTTACTTCAATTTCGTGTTTCCCTCTTTTAATTACAAATGGTACACAATTATAGACTTCTTGCATCGTATGTTCCTGATCTGACCTACATACAGTAATTATTTATAAAGTTCATTATATAATTAAAAATCCAATAGCTACGATTAAATACAAAAGAACAAATTAATATTTTTAGGTTATTTAGAAATATACCAATATCCGGATGATGTTCTAACGACAAGATGCTCTTTTAAAGTTAGTTTATGAATAACACCAGTAATAACTTTATTGTGTATACCATAAATTGGTGTATCGATTGATTGAACGGCTCCTCTAATTGCAACATATTTAATTTTATTATCTTTATTTTGTTCTACAATATTTATTAAGTTATTATTAACTTCATAAAACTCAGCACCCTAGATAGAAATGAAATTTCATACAATACTTTTACATTGATAAACCTTACAATATACATATATTTAAATGTATTACTCACTTTAACTGCATTTATTGATCTATTACAATAAAAATGTTGCTTTAAACAAATTCCAAATATTATACTATCAATGCCCAAAGCAATAAATTCACTCAAGTATTCCATGATTATTTTAACATTTTTAAATAATAAAATTGAAATTAATTTCTATTTTCTGACAATACAAGTTTTATTGTTAACTCTTTCATCTTAAATCTTCTTTCTTCATTTTCAATTTTCTTCTGTACAGACATACAATTTTAGGCTTTCATATCTTTAGTAATAGTACCAATTAATTTAGATATTGATTATTCAATAAACAAAATGAAAATTTCATTTAATTTTGTAATGCTGCATAAGCTTGCAATTAAATAAATCTATAGAGAATTGACTGCAATATATAATTCTGTATCGATAGAGCGTATTTAAGATAAGAGTTCATCTTATAGTTTATAAAGTTAACACTAGAATGCAGAATATGTTCGGATTGTTTTTGAAATTAATTAAATTGGAATTGAATTTTCACAATGAATACTATTATGATGCTTATATCCCATACATCATATAAATCTAATATTATAATACGAAGAATAAAGAGGAGGAATTTATTTGGAAATTATTTTGGAAATTTCGCACATGAATCATTTTCTATTAATTAACAGATTTCAATATTTTCAACAAATTTTCTTAATATTGATAATATTATAATATTGACAATTCATAAAAGAATTCATCAAGAAAAATCTTGATCCCAAACTCATTTCAAGATTGCTTGGAAAGCTATTAAAACGGCAAATAAATGTGAAATTGAACTATGAACTTGAAATAAATTCTATCGTATTTGAACAAAATACAATTTTTAATGTTAAATTAATGATACAAATTTTTAGAAATATTTTTAAAATATTAATAAATTTAGATAAGTAATTTAAAATCAATTAAAATAACTTGTGAAATAAGTTTTTAAGCGATATTACTAGTTTCTCGTTTGTCACTAGAAATTTAGAAATTATTGATATTGCTCAATTTTTACGATTAGGTTTTTTTTTTTTTTTTTTTTTTTTTTTTTTTTTTTTTAATATTTTTCATATTAATTAATTTTATAGATAAAATACATTATATTAATAAATAATCGAGAGGCTTATTTTATCGTATTAGCGTTCAAAATATAATTTAACATTATCTTATGAAACTGTAATAGCTTTATAATAGTTATGGTCCAGATTAACTTATGAATTTAGAATATAAAATTAAATGTGGACTAAGTTTAATATGAATTAATTATTAAATTGTCTTTCGATTATTGAAAACAGTTGTTAACGTTATAGAATCATTTTATCAATATAAATGCGAATAAGTTTTTGATATATCGATTGGGTAACATTCAATCAATCGAGTCGAACTGAATATGTAATTTATAATAATTATTATTTTGAATTGCATTAGAAAGCGAAGGTCATGGCTTATTGATGTTTATCAAATAATGTTTAATAAGTAAATACATTATTGAAATATATTATATTAAATTTTCTTATATTAATTATTATGATTAATTATAATATATATACACGCGCGCGCGCACACATTAATACATCTATCTTTATTTTAAAATATTTAAGCTAATTTTAATAAACTGTGTGCTGGTTCAATATTATATATATTTGTTTACTTAACTTTTCATTAATAACGAAATTCGTAATATTTTTATTTAAAGAATTAAATAAAATAATTTTCTCAATATTCCAAGTAAAATATATAATTTTAATGCATTATCATTTTTACTTTTTATTTTTAATAACGATTTTTATAACTTCAAATTGTAATATAAAATAACAATGAATACAATGTCAAAATTCAAAGTATAGTTATCAATATTTAATATTTTTAATATTAATATCTTGTTCATTCTAAAATCATGTGAAAAAAAAATGTAAATATACTATATTGAATAATATGAATTTTAAAAACTATTAAAAATTATACTTATATTCGACCCTCAAATTTGTTGTGATAACACGTGGGATGAGATTAGTCACTCATTATATAACTTTTGTTTACATTCATTATTTTTTAAGAAACTGAATTAAAAATGAGTTTACTAGTGTTTCATATTTTCAGAAATATTTCAGTATATTAATAGAAACATCAAAGATTTTCAATAAAAATCAATCAGTGAAACGAAATATATTTGATTTTCTGTGCGATGAAGCGAAAATTTCTAAAGTAAAGAGTAAACATAATATTTTTTTGTTTTTTTTTTTTATAGCCAATTAATCGTTTTATTTTCTATTTTTTTTTTTTTTTTTTTTTTTTTACTTTAAGTCTAGAAATATGCTTTTTATTGTCTATTTTATAATTAAATGGCGTATCATTAAATTGCGAATTATTCAATCATTAATATATCAATATATTCATAAATTATATAAATGATCGGTTTCTAAAATTCACTATTCATAGTACAATTTATGCAAAGAAAAAAAAATATTTTCCAATTTGTAAAATTTAAAATCTATTATTTTAATTAAAAGCAGTAAATGATATTAATAAAAATCTTAAAAATCAGCAAAAAAAAAAAAAAAAATTATAATCTTTAATTAAATTTCATTAAATCATATAGTATATCACTTATTTAACGCTATTTATTGGAATTGTGAAATATTTTTGCTTAAAATAACCTCTTTAAAATAGTTGGGTATTAAAATTTAAATATAACCGAATCGTTCGAATTTGATAGCCAATTTTAAATATATAATATAGCCGTATAAACTGAAATTATTATAAATTATGGCCATTATAATTGGTTCCAAATTCTTCAAACAATGATATATACATCTGATTTGTTATAAAATATTTTCATATTGATATATTAGCTTTTATTTGGAAACTGTTCAAAGCTACTTTATCAGAACAGAACACTCTGGAAACTTCAACAACTTGATTTATTGATAAGCTTTCGGGTTTAAAGGTATATATAGTCTAAGAAGTTACTGGTAATGTAATATCTACACGTTTAGGTAATTCAAGTTATTATTTAATTTTTATTCACATAATCGTATCAAATGCTAATAAATTATATAAGAATTATTCTAACTTGTTACGTCTTAAATGTAAATTGTATATCTGTTAAGTTATTATAACTGATATCATTATTAACACTTGAGAATACTATTATTCCATTTTATATTCACTATCAAAATTCATTGTTAGTCAAAAAAAAAAAAAAAAAAAAAAAAAAAAAAAAATTTTTATTTACACACGTACGTATGCCATTTAATATAATTATCAGGAATATTCATATGTGATGAAATACGAGCATTTTCACTGTATAAGACAGTTGTTCCTGTTTGTACTAGAATTACAACCATAAAATATTTATTAGTACAATATTAGCGAATTATAATACGTATAGTAATATCATAGGTATTATTTTATTTTGAAAAGAATCATTATCTAAAGTTTTTAATTATATAATTGTTCATAAAGTATTGAATTCGTTTATATAAATTAATGTATTGAAATACATTTATCATTATTTAATTGCTTTTGAAATATTTTTCCTAAATTTTTGTAATAAAAAGTTAAACATATGTCATCGATATTTAAAAATAATAATAATTAATAGATATCAGTAATAGAATAAGAATATTCCACTAATTGAGCATTATGAATATCTATGATTTTATCAATTGAAAAGATAGAGTTGAACAATTTATTCATATCTTTAATCATATAAGTACAGAAAAATTTTATGAAATATACAATTTTGTATTTGAAAGTCAAAATAACTGCATTTTCAAAACTTTGTGCCCACAAAATGCAAGTAGCTCTTTCCTTATATTTTACATTATACTTACAGTCACAAAGCTATTTTTCTTTTATTTTTTATTTTTACTTGTTTTATATGTTCAAGATTTCTATAACTTCTATAATGATCAGTAAAAAAAACTTGCAATCACTCTTCACTTTGAGCCACACTTTAAAGATTATATGTGAAGCTGAAGATATGTACAATATAAATTGTAATGACAATTGTACTTGAAATTGAATGAATATTTTGAAAATTCATTAATAAATTATTTAAAATTATAAAATAAATTATTTAAAAAATTATTTAACAAAACATTTAATATATCTGTCATGAAAAATTTGATCGACTATTTTTTCATATTAATAAGTATTAGTACGTTTAAAATTGAATAATTTTATTCAACTGATAATGTCTGTACAGACATTTGGATCATAATGATTTTATATTAGGTAAATACTTTGAAATTTCAATTTGATATAAATAAACAATAATTTAAAAAAATGTTAAATAAAGATTTTCTAAATATTATAATATTATATGAATATATATATATATATATATATAATTGATAACCAAATTAATTTGCTTATATCTATTAATGTTTTTCATTATCATAGAAATTAGATTTCCAACTTAATATTATTTTCATGCAATGTCTCAATTTATTTATTTTCTAAGCTTTTTCATTTAATCGTATTTAATTATTTTTATTTCTTAAATTAAAATACGTAATGAATATGAAAAATGAATACTTTACGTGTTTGCAATATATAAACATTAATAACTGTTCACGTTACATTAAAATCGAACATAATACAATTATTTTTAATCGATGCAATTAGAATAAAAAATTAATACATTACATTTTACTTTATTCGAATTTCTCTTTTAAGTATATAGACAGTTAATCAATTATATATACTTTCATTATGTAAAACCTTTTATACAGCAACATAATGTATTTTCAAAGAGTAATAATAACAGTCGCTACAAAAATCACACTCCAGCAATATTACCTCACGTATCACGTACTACAGCGCACATAATATGCGAGGTAGATAAATTAGGAATCTGTCCAATTTATCGGTAATTTAAGCAATCTAAAAGTTAAATTCACGCTCTTTTACGACGTCGTTGGAGAGCGATGTTTTTATTTCTTATGCCAAGTGAGCTACCAGTTGCATAAGAAAAAGTAGCAGCCACGGTAGCTGAGTCTCATAATGCCCAATCCTTGGCACTGTCATTCGATATAAGCTTTGGCTTCGGACTTTTACACAATAGATATATATTTTGCTCTATTACAAATGTAAAAAGTCTGCTCTATATCAAGGTGAAAATGAGAGACGTTGTTGTATCAAACATTCACAATACCCTCTTTATAAGGATATTCTTAGCCGGAAATCTTTATAGTCTGTCAGATGCTGGGACAATGTACTTTTTACAATTATTCTGTTAAATTTATTAAATGGCATTACTGTAAGTATAGGAAAACAATATTAATGGATAATACGAAATACATATCTTTTATCTTCG